TTCTACTCAGTGAGAACCTGCAAATAATAAATCCTGCGCAACTGAACTGTTGTGAAGATGATATGCAGTAATTCATGATTTGCTTATCATAGTAATCAGCATAAGATAAACACTCAGCAAAGGCTTACCGTTTTTACTGTGAATATGTACTTCAAAAGTGTTTTCTCCTGGTGATGTTTAGGTTCTTTCATATTGAAACAGTTTAGCAAAAAGGTAAAGACAGACACTTTGACCTACACAAAAATTCAAAGCTTTATTTTTTATTTATTTATTTATTTAGAGTTGTGGTAGATATTGGGGCAAAAATTTTACAAGCAAATGGTTTGACTCCTCAGATATGTGTTTATATTTAGAAATAGGGAAAGAGGTACATTGGGCTTAGAATCAGCACTCTGGACACTTGAGAGATGTGACAGCTACAGATTTCCTCTTCTGCTTTGTTCTTCTCTGTATGAAACACAAGTAATTCTAAGTCTGTTTCATAAACCATAATATTAACACAATTCTTCCCATCACACAAATGGTTTCCATATTTTCAAATGTATAGGATTCCCTTTTTTTGGGAGGCAGAATCAGACAGAAGTCCCAGTGTGTAACACTGTGGATCCACAATTAGGCATCAACAAATCTTTGCCTTGAAATTGCACTTTCTTCTTCCTCTGCAATGGAAGTAATAGTTTATACATTTCTTTCTTTCAGACTTGTGTTCAAAGTTAAATGTAGAATCTCTATATAAAAATGTATTGTAAATTATAAAGAGTTTTACTGAAACTAGTACAGCTAGAAACTGCATCTTAAAACTCATCTGTTAAAATTTGGAGAAAAAATTTTTAATGATGTTTTGCATCAGGGATTTTGAGAAGCTCTGCCAATGTTTCTAATCAAGCATATGTTTGAGGACAGACAGTTGTGATCTCGCTGCATTTTAAGTTGTGGCACCTCGGCCCCACTCGATCCTCTCGCTTTGGATATGTTTAACAGCTTTGCAGTGGAATTTCACAGATTCAGAAATTGTGGTCTTTCTGATTCTTTCCTACCAATGCAAAAATTAGCCTCCTTGTGTTTCAGCAAAGCCTCTTCCCTCCACCTGGAATATAAAGTATCAGATCCTAACAATAGAATATTAAAAGCCATATTTGAAGCAATTACCCACAGCTTTGGAGAACAGTCCCACACACAGCTGCCACCCAATCAGAACGCCTGTATCTGTCACCCACCATCCCTGCTACTCACAGATTCAGAATGTCAGAGCCACAAAAATATTGTAGATTATTCTCCTCCTCAGTTAACAAAAGAGGAAAGTGAGGCACAGGAAAAGGGATGTCATCAGAGTCACTCAACTGAAGGCGGAAAAGAGTTTAAAACCCAGGTTCCTGTTTTCCCATTTATGGGTCACGTTCCCGGACCCTGCTCCATCACGGCCCGAACCAGTGGGCTGACCTTGAGCTGGGGGTGAGAGAGGTTCCATGAGTGAGGAAGCCGTGTGCAGCGAGTGTGGTCTCACACTGGATGGCAATCTCCCATGGTATTGTATCATGCATCCGTGCACAGCTAAAAGGCAGATGACCCCGAACCCTTAAATGCTCATGATTATAATAATGTAAACCAATACAATTATGGACCAACTGGGACCTAAACTCACCCTGTCTTTATTCTCAAACTCTCATTTGTCCTTTCTCACAGCTCCTTTATTTAGCTGTACTCGTATCTTGTGAATAAAAAGGAATGGCACTGGGTATCCCATGGCAATTATAGAATATTTTCAATCTTTCTTTGACTTCCGAAAAGAATTGTAAAAGAGAGCAAGCATAACTTTCAGGGACCCTTCTCAAAAAAAAAAAAAAACCAGCAACAACAAAAAAACAAACAAACAAAAAAACCATGCTTTCTTTCCAGTTGCTCTGAAGCCTCCCACACACCCAGCTGCTTGGCTTTCCTTAGCCTTGGTCCTCCTGCTTTGTCTTTCATCTGTTCTTTTTACTTCTCATAATGTTTACCCACCAGGCCTCTGTCTCTACATACTCCCTTCTCTCCTCCTTCTGCCTTTGTAGGTTATTTTTCCTTCTCACTTGGTTACCCCAGTTGTATATAACCCACCTGGCAATGACTCTGCTTTAGTGAGCAGGAAGGGTTGTCAGAAAAGGCCCTATCTCAACATCCCAGTCCTACTGTGTTGCAAAAAATGGGAAGCCCTGCCACACTGTGGGCATCCCATAGATGGAACTAGCATAATCTGTACCTTGTGCATAGGCATCTCCCACTGGAGTCTGCCATATTGGGACAAGAAAGTACCAGACTCAGCAGAACCTGAACACTTGACTTAGAAATAGCAGTTCTCAAGATGAGGAACAATATAGCAGAACAACTAAAAGCACAACCTACCATTATTTCTAGGTAGCAGTATGGATTATCTGATCTTCCTATGTGCTTGCAAAATCCTTAAAGTCTTATCAAAAACGACCCAAATGCAAGGTCAGACCCTGCCATTTATTAACTCTCTTCATTTGGGCAAACTATTTAACCTCTCTGAAATTCAATTTTCTTGTCTAGTAAATGGGCATAAAATACATACATATAATGCACTTGGCCTTGTGTCCGGTACATAGATGCTGTTCTAATGTGTGGTAGCCTTTACTGCTGCTAATTATGATGATAGCCAATAGGATGCAGGTAGAATTCAGCCAATAAGAAATTTCTTTCCTCCCCTCCTCCTTTCCATTCATTCTTTTTTGCTCTTAGCAGACATGTTCAAGAAATGAGACAGACAAGAATGGAGGAAAGCAGCTAAAGATGTGAGGGCACAGTTTGAGTTGTCCAGAGAGCATGCTCTTTAAAGTGGCATGGGGAAAATCAAGAAGAAGAGATGCATAACTAAGGATCAATCAAGAGCTATCTTCAGAAAAAGTTGCAAGTCCAGAAATAGTTAGATCTCATTATTTAAGGAAAAAATCTTGCATATTCTGCGCAATAAGAATAGACTTCTATCTGGAATGAAGAGAGGGCATTATAGGGAGAAAGTTCCTGTCTAGAATTGATGGAAAGCATTTAACTGCCTCTGAGCCAAGATGTTTTATATTTCAGGGGTTTAACATCTAGTCCTCTTCCAGGACTGGGGATATAGTGGAAGCCTGGATACAAACAAATATCATGTTAAATTTTTAAGCAAGACTGAACTAGAGTCCAGAAACTATAGACTCATCACTTCAAATAGACCTTACTACAAGTTTAAGACACCTATTACACCAATGATTGGTGATCAAGAATTAATGTTTGTTTCACTAAAAATAATTCATTCCAAATAGGTGTCTTAGACTTACTGTTTGGCAGAGTATTTTCAGCAAGGTATTAGATAAAGCCTGCCATAGGTGGGTCCATTCTCAGGCACACTAAATTTTGCATGCTTGACATATAGCAAGGAAGCCTGGGTGTATCATGATTCTCTTTTCTATCCCTGTCCTGCTCAATAACTTTGAGTGTTACGGCAAAAGTTCAGGCTATATTCCACAAGAGACCAAAGAGAACAAACAAAGTTTTTAATTTAGACCGGTCACCTCTCATCCCGACTTGCAAGTCCGGGAAGTGGGCGTGGACCTGTCGTTGTTCCCAGGTTATGTACATTTTTGGTTTCCATGGTAACAGAAAGGAATGTTATAGCCCTGGCCACATGTTGTTTTCCTTGTGCCATGTAACCGGGCCAGGCTCCAGTCATGAGCCCAACCACAATGATATATACTTTTTGTACTCAGTTTTATATGTCCCCCTTTAGATAACCGTACATTTACTTTATGGTTACAATGTTTACCTAGGGCCAGGAGATGGAACTGCCCAGGCAGGGTCATGGAGGGTTAACTAGGCCTAGGCGCCCCCTTATCTTGGGGAGACATTCCTGGACAGTGTTGATCTGGGGAATTAGCTCTTACACTGTCCCAGGAGGCTTCCCAAAGCACCATGTAGGCTTTTACCAAAACTATTTTATCCAAAATAATATATTAAGATTCATTGCCCCCTACATGAGTTGAATGAAAACTTAAAAGGCAAGTGACACTAAGCTGAAAGATCTAGGTAGCATCATAAATTATAAGATCTTCCAATATTCTTGCAAAATCTTTAAAACTTAGTTTGAGTAAGTACTAAGTCATTTTAAGTGTTGAAATTACTCCATTTAGAATAATCCCAACTGATCAACGTGCCACCAAGCCCTTAAAATAAAAGTTTAACTGAGACAAATGTAATGTCCTACATCATGACTCAATTAAATAAAACCAACTGTAATAACATGGTAAAGAATGACAGAAATGGGCAGTGATTATGTCAGAAAGGTAAAAACTAGCAGCAAGCTCAGTATCAGCCAAGAGTATATTATGGTTGTTAGAAATAAGCTGAATTTGACTAGTTTCATGTAAGTAAATTAAACCGATGATGAAAAGTACATAAAATGTCAGGCTCACTGAACATTTGTGCTACTTCTTGTACCTTTTTTCTTTTAATTATTATATGTTTATATTACATAATGATTACATTCATAATGGGAAATTGGTATCTGTACATAGCACAGGTACCAATTCTTTTTACTTCCCCTTCTCCTGCCCCTTTTTCCCCATTCCATGCGTTCAGAGGACAAAGTTCCTCATGGGGCATAATCTAGTAATCATAATATATAATGAACCATTAAAGAAAATGGGAAAGTATAGACTCGAAAAGAGATAACTTAAAGAACATAATCAGAAAGGGCAGAATTTTGAGTGTGTTTGGAGGGCACAGTAATCTCCCTCAGTCCAAGATGTAGAAAGGCAGATTTTGGCAGACCCTGAATAGACTATTAACTAGTCTAGTAGATAAAATTGCTTAAAAATTATTTACAAGCTAGCCTGTCACTGTGGTCCCTACCTAAACCGCCACCCACCTGCATAGTGCAAGAGGGTCCCGGAACTGGGTGGACTCTTTTACAAGAGGCTCCTTGATGGTCAACACTGAGGTTCTCTAATCTTTTCCCCCTCTAGGGATGCAGTGGAGTGTGGTGGCCAATGGGAGAGTCAGTGCCACCCGGCAGCAAGTTCTCCTTTGGTGGTTGCTCAGCCCAGTGACACTTAGGCCCCTGGGACAATGGCCCAGAAGACAGCTGTGGCACTGAGGGAGGTCCAGCTTAGGAGCTGCTGCTTATGCGTGACTACACCTGGTATTCTCTTCACCAAGGCTTCCATCGACTGGTGCAGGTGCCCTAGACACACGGGCCTTTTCCTCGAGATTCCAGCAGGTGGCATTTGAGGGAGTCAGGGGACAGAATGTCTTCCTTGTTCACTTGTTCCTGTATTTCCCACCATTCCTTCTTCCTGGAGCCTCCATTCTTGCTTGATAGTCTCCTTTGTCCCTGACATGTTCTCCTTGCCGTGCCTGGTCTGTCTCACTGTGTTCTCAGCATGATTGCTCACTGTCTGCTATCAGCCATGGATGTTTCCAAATATGCCTTTGCTGTGTCCACTCAAAGACATTGTCCGAATGCATCCTTTTTGTGCCTGTCTTGGTCACAGCTGTATTCCAAGAGCTCACATTTTTTTGGTTGGTAATATGTCTCACAGCCATACTCAGAAATAGTGTCACTTCTTCACCCTGTTCTGTGCCACACACTAACACACACATTCTTCCCTGCATCTGCGGCCAAATATCCACCCTCTTGACTAGGCCCTGTGTCAATCGCAGACTTCTGCTCACTGTCTCGGACACCTACTGTCTGTCCTTCTCTTCAGGACATGCTGCATGTATTTCCCACAAAGGACACAGGAGCATGACCTGGCAGTGACAATGTCTCTGCAGCAGGCCTGGAGGGAAGCTGAAGGAAAACAGACAGCTTCCCCCAGTGTGGGTCTACTGGTGTGTCTGCTCTGAGACGCTCACTGACCTGTGTGGCTGGAGCAGGACATCTTCTCAAGAGCCTCAAGCCGGGCTGGCAGCTTCGTAGAGATTTATTAAAAGGCTTTGGAATCTTTTCCATGACCTTATGGTGACTCTGAAAACCCTGAATCCGGCCTTCTTGCTCCCACAGGAGAGGACTATTGAAGTTCACGCTGTGTGACCTCAGCATCTCTGCAGTCCCTCAAGTTGGTGAGCACGGAGCCCGGCAGGGCTGGGAGCAGAAAACAATGACTTGATGTTAGAGAACTGAGATTCCAACCCTGGTTCAACTTCTAATTTGCTGTGAGATTTTGAATATTATCCGTCCATCTCTGGACCTTGCTTTCCAAGTCTGCCAGCTGAAGTTTGAACTAGGGGGTCTCTAAGATTTCTTTCTGTTTCAAGGATAACAGGATGCTGCTACAGCCATCTGCTACCTCGAAAAGCCACGGCCTGCCTGCCTTCTGGCTTCGTTTCCCAGGAACTATCCTCTTCCCTTGGGCCTTCCAGACTCCTGACCTTGTGAGCTTTGCTCTTCCAGTTGAAACCTGGAGGTCCTTCACTCAAAGCTGAGTCCGTGGCTTTTGTCAGCTCCTGTAGAGCAAAGGTTCCGGGGAGGAAAATGCCACTTCCCAGGGCTGCTTGAGGTTTAAATGTTCACCTTGACTGTGGTTTGATAGCGTCTCAGGATTATTTATCACACTCTCATTCCTCTTGCTGCTCAAGTACTGTCATTTATCATTTCCATTATGTTTACTTTAGTTGTGCAGTGAAACTTGATAGGAAAGAGACTTCGGAATGAGAAAGATTGCCGGAAAGAATTCTTTGTCTTGTGAAAGATTGACTTTGTTGAGGAGGAAGCTATGCCTTAGAGACGGGAAAGAGACTCTGAAAGAGAACAGTTATTTAGAACTCCTGACCACTGTGGAGAAATCTCACCCAGCCTGAAGGGGCTCCGGCTCATGGGTGGAGCAGTTTCAGCTGGGAATCTATTCTTGTCAGATGTGAAGAGAGCTCTCTTTAAGTTCTAACGTGCATGCTGACTCTGTGGCTGGACCAGTTCCCCCTTGGTTTTTTAAATCATTGCTTCCCGACATCCCACTTCAACAACCACCATTCGGAGCAAGCTCCATTTTGAGGATGGTTCTTTCCTACTACAAAAAAAGAGCCACAAGCTTCTGAGACCCACAGCTGTGGACCCAGTGACAAGACTCAAGGAACCTGCTCTGGCTGTGGGTCCAGCCCACTCACCACCTCCATGAACATGTTGGTGAGGAGGGGTTCAGCGTAGCCATACATGCACCCAGTGACTGACCTGCTAGGTAAACTGAACCAGTAATAGCTGGCTCAGAGATCTTGTCTGCCTACTTCAGAAAGGTATCATGGAAACATGTTTTTGTGGAAACATTCTGTAAATCATAAAATGATGCTGCATATGTTTATTATCCCAGGTGTTTTGAATTATTGTGGACGTGCCTGAGCTCCCAAGGGCTAAAAATTTATTTACTGTGAGAAGAGGGAATTTAGAGAATAAGCTTTCTGTGTTGAAATGATCCCTGAGGAGCAGCCTCTGGGTACCAATTCTTGTATATCTGCCCCTTCCCATCTGAGCACTTCAGGTTGCGCAGCGCTTGAATTCATGTATCACAAACACTCTCACTTAAAAAGATTTTGTCATTCCTCAAGTAAACGGGTGGCTGGAGAGAGAGATGGAGACTACAGGCTAATTTGTTTAAGAATTAGGCTAGCTGTCAGTAACTTCAAAGTCAGATGAACTAAATTCAAATGCCAGTTTGCCAAATAAAAATGTGCTTGGAGGAAAAAAACCTGAGCCACCAAAACCATTCCCATCTTGTACATTCAATTTACATATATGTAAATCCTATAAAAAAAAATCAAACATAGACCAGAATGTTACACAATGTCTCCTAAGGTATTGAACCAGGTAATTTTTGGTATCTTTCCTCAAGTGATAGTCTATGTAATTATGGTTGAGTATGATTAAGATTATTTTAGCTAATACCTTACTTTTGTTTACATTTTTAACAAAGTATAATTATAAATGGGGCTATTTGTACAGTTTTGAAGCACTGATCCCCCTTGTATATTGAATATTTATAGCACTTGTGTATCCATTAGGTATAACATAGACATTAATTCTATAATTTAAAAGGATTATAAATTTTGATGATGGCTGTATATTTGGTTTTATGGGACTGTTTGTTATAGCTATGATTTATTTGAAGCTAAGGCTTTGAAAATACTGGAATTCCTGGTTCTAAATTTATTTCTGCTGAAAGCACCCTTGGCTTTAAGATTATCTGCTTTTTGATGCAGTTTCCAGGAATGTGTTCTTAGAAAGACAGAAGACTACACAGATTTTTTATTAATAAATTATATTTATTGATAAACCTTGATAAACATGTTTATATGAATGCATTTTGTTCATGTTTATATAAATTATATATTAAAGGAAATCTTTAGTCCTAGAACTAATAACTCATTTATGAATAAGCAACAAAATGCCAAAGTTGACCCCTATGCCTCAGTCCTGTGGAGCCCCTCTGCCACCCCAGGAGACTTCTCACACGTTGCCCAGAAGCTATTGTCCTTTGAAGCAGTGCAATTCATTTTCAATGCTACATGCTCTTCAGTAAAGCCTGAAGCCCAGGGCCCCTAGATGATGTGACTCCACCTGTCAGACTAGCTGTCTGTAATCTTTATGAAGGCTTCAAGGACAGGGACAGACCTCTCTGAATTGGTCTTCTCCTGAAAAGAGGATTGGGATCCTGACCAACCAGTTTGGAACACAAAACCCTAGGGAGCCCCTCATGATAGTGTGCTGATCGTATATCCAGAGGACTTTGACTGAGGTTATTATGCAGGTCCCTCCTTGCAACAAACTAACTTTTTTTTTTCTGGTTTTG